ACGATAATACGCGTTAAAATCCGTATTAACTCCGTTACAACCCCTTGTATACTCGACCCGTATTTAATGGCTGCTTTTAAATGATCGAACCGTGTCACTATTCGTTTCGTATAATTGTGCGCCAATCGATTATTATTATTATTATTATTATTATTATTATTATTATTATTATTATTGTTAATTATAAATGCACTTATTTTGGAACGAATTTCGTGAATTTTGTGAATGTAATAATCACCTTGAATAATTTGGTATAATTGGTTTTATGAAGTTCATAAAGTTTATAGTTAGAGTACGATAACAGAATTACGATATTTTTTTTAATTGTATTTTTTTTTTAATAAAAGTCGTGATATGTTGCAATTTTTTGTATTGAATGTTTGAATTTTATGAGCTATATTAATATTCCGGATCTTTTTGACAATTTATTTTTGAACGATTCGCAATGGTTTTTAATTAAATTGTTATTTACTTGTCCAAAAGATTAAAAGATTATTAAATTTTTACCTAAATTGTTATTCGTAATTTGAATTGTTAAAAACTTCGTAAAAAAATATTGTACAACAATGTGTCTAAACTCATTTCAAAATATAAATAGAATTTTTTCAAAAAATCTTTTAAAATATCTATCAAGAGAGAAAATAGAAAAAAAAGATGATGAGGATGATTCTTTTTTTGATTTAAACCGATTAAATACCGGCCAACTCTGCCCTTTCCTTAAAATTTTTACGTTTCAAATATAATGTTGTTTAATCAACTTCAATTGAATGATACTTCAAGAAACGAGAATTGGATGAAATTGTAGTACTGATATTAATTTGAAATACATAGCCATTTCGAAGCCATTATTAATTATCGGATATAAGAAACTATGACAGTATCTAGGAATGTGTTGCATTTGGTTGCACATCTCGATTCTCCAGAGGATTGCGCAATGTCTTCCTCGATGACGGTTCTTTGAGCGCAACAAACATTATCGCTAGCCAAACTCGAGCAATTTCAAACTTGAGGAAATTTTGCTTGTGCATAGGTAGAATAGTAATTATAGGATTATGTTCTAGTCCTTGGTGAGAAGATTTTATTATCAGACTTTGCGTATAGATCTGCGTTAATATTCTTTAAAGAAAAAGAAATTCGAGAAATCTTGAGAAAGAAATATTCGAAAATAAATATAACGATAGCCATACATTTTTGTATGGCTAAATTTGTATTATTTCTTAAAATTAAATTATCTTGTGCATTTAATATTGAAATTTTTCTAATTCTTAAATTTAATTTTCGTTTTTTATACTTATCGTTAAACTTGTTATTTATAAAAAATTTATTTTCGTTAAAATTTCTTCCATCTTCAAAGTATAGAATAAATATTTGAAAAATACATCATTTCCATCGTAATTAAAATATATTGACAAAAAATTTTTAATTCTATCTTTATTATTTTTTAACTTTGTGCTTTTACGAGGATGCGATGCATCGCTACGAATAAATTTCATTTATATGGACGCTAAAAGCTTTCAATTTCTTTAAAAATTTTTGCAACCCCGTATAACGAGAAACCGCGAAGCGTATCGTTTTTAATTTCACCATCCAGCATCACTGCTAATTTCAACGGAAACTTACTATCTCGTCGTTAATATTTTTTTTATATGTTGATATTTTCATTGCAGTTTTTCTCTCTTAATTCCAATCAACTAAATCTTCTTACCATGAATCCTTATTGATCCTATTTCGAAAAGAGAAATTTCTAAATATTATTTATTCGACTCTGATATTCTACTCTGATAAAAAATTACACGTTCCATTTACTTTCTATTAAATATATCTTTCGAAATATATTATATTTGCTGCCAATATATTATATTGATTATCTATCAATCTTGAAACGTTCGCCGTATTTTCCTAAACTATCAAAACTGTAATCCTGTATAATACAAAAAAAAAAAAAAAAAAAATAGAAAATGCATATTTATGAGCTTATAAATAACATCCATCAAGCCAATTTCCATTCCATTTTCCGATCATCGGAAGCGTTATCAATCCCTCGTCGCATAAATAATCGCCGATTGTTTGCCGGCGCGAAGATTCACGCGTCGTTGCCCTCGTCTTTTTATCGGAAAAGGAAATGGGGGAGAATTTTCGCATAAATCAAAACGTTTGCCGCGGGCATTTAGAACGAACGCTGTCAGCCTCGTTTTCTCCCTGTCATATCGGCCGACCCCCTCCTCGCTTGATGATTCGATCGACGATCTAATTCGAAGAAACGGAGGCCATCGTTTCGCCTCATAATCGAATCACTTCACGGTTCGCTGATCCCGTTCAAACTCGATGGTCTTCGCTCTTGAGTCGAGAGAAAAGGGTATGACGTGTTTCATCAACACGTGAAAGGAATGGGTGCTTCTTCAAATTCTGCTTTATTCTCGCGATTAAAAACAGTTAAAGCGATGGAAATATTATTCTTGATATTTACGTATTTGATATTTATTGCTTATAATAATTTTATAAATTTAATAGATTTTGATAGATGTGATGGAAAATATGGATAAAGATATGGATCTTAATATAGTGATTGATATTTTACGATGATTTTTTTTATGTAATTAAAATTTTATACGTTAATGATTATATAAAAGGAATTTTGTGTTCAATAATGAGATAAAAGTATAAAAAAAAAAAAATATTAAAGTTGAAGAATGTTCTTTAAGTTGTAAGTCCGTGATATACTCTTTTCTTCGATTTTTATCTTATCAGATCTCTCTTCAGAACTGTTTGAGCGGAAGAGTCTTTGGAAATGATGAAGAGGTCATTGGGACAGTAAATGAACTTATTACAACAAGAGAACAATTTTGTGAAGAAATGGTGTAGATATAGAATTGAGATTATAAAAATTGTTGGAAAAATTATATAGAATAAAGAAACAAATTAGTGGGTAGAAAGGGGATGAAATATTGAAAAATATTGAAAATTCACTGGTAAAAGAATTGAAACTATTATGAAAATTAGAACGACGTAAAAGGAACGTAGTCGAAGAATTTTCATTTTGCAATTAGTTGATTGTTACCACGAATTGCAATTGCCAGCAATTTCCATATATTTCGGTGAAACGTGAATAACAGTCGGCTAATTATAGTAGCACGAGCAATTACTTTTACGCAATCCGACCGCGTTAATCGTCATTTTTAACTACTGTAATTCCCTAATGCGCTCGCTGAAAAATTGTCAAAATCTCATGAAAGAATAATTCCTATTCCATTTACACGATGAATATCATAATGTTAAATTACGATCGCGGTTTTAAATAAAATAATGTATGAAAATTAATTTTTAAACTTTTACGTTTTTCAATTATTCTTACTTTATTTACAACAAATTACTTTATTTCTTCTAATTTTAGTATAAAAATTCAAGTTCACAAGCTCGTACACATTTATCCCAAACGCTATTATTTATAACAAAAACTCTTTTTTATTAAATTTCAAAATACAAAAGAAAAAGAAAGAAAGAAAAAATTACTTAAATAATACATCTGTTAGATCAAAAATTTTCCTCAAGCAATATATTTCTATTACGAATCCTTAACGCGTTTAAAAAAAAATCCAATTTTTCATCGATTTTCATCGTTTAACCGCTCTGTTATTGCTCGGCGCAATCATCATCGAAACACGAAATAAGAGGGCGCGAAATTCAATCGAGAAGGAAAACAAATGGAATAGGGAAGTTCCAATGAAGGGATGAATAATAGACGAGACGAGGAAATCGAGTCGTTTTTCGAGCAATGATATGGGTCAGTGTTTGCGAATCGCTATTTCGAAGTTGAGCAAGAGAGAATACAAATTTTGGAGATGGATATATATGAATAATAGAGCACGTTCGATTCGAAATTGAAACATCAAATTTTAAAATCGTGGCGATGACGAGCATAAATAATTACAATAATTTCAAAGTTGGAAAAATATGATGTTTTTCTCGTTTAACTTCTCCCGTTTCGATGAGTTTAACCAGCAATCAACCATCAGACTCTCAAAATTCTAATTAATTATTAAAGAAATAATTCGAGGAATAATCTTAAAAATTACTCTATCCTTTAAATAATTCAGTTTATACTTCGACATAAATAATCGTTATATAGATATATATATATAAATCGTTTTTCGCAAATTTTATTACAAATTTCCAAAACGTGAAGTATCTAAGAAACAGTCTCACCAAAATTCCCTACACTGCTATCTCCCTTATAATATAAAAGTCGTAAACGATAAAACGAAGTACATAATGGTGTACAACGTTGTAAACCCTCGACAAACGACCCTAAATCCACGATGGAATAATATCCAGCCCGGCGACGTAAAGCATTTAACAATCCACGATCTAAAAATTATCCCTGATAATATCCAGCGCAACGACTCCTCTGAAAGACAATAACCCCTCGTTCTTTCCCGCCCAACTCCTCCATCTCCGCTAATCATTACCACGAAACTCAAATTAATACACCATCCATAAACCACCGCCAAATATCAACGTAAAGCAACGCAGCCCGATATAAACTTGGTCATCGCTCGGTCGGCATCGAAACAGTCTTCGAAATCGTTTCCCCTTCCTTCGAATCGTTGACATAAACGCTTTGAAACGACGGCCGTCCAACTCACGACGAGCGGATCTTTATCGAGTGGCGGGGGTGGCTGAGAGCGTCGCGGCGTCGGTCGGCCGGAAACCACTTGGAAACCGCGATGAAGATAAGAACTCGGTTGAATTTGGCCGAGCAGGAGGCGGCGGCAGGAGGAAAATTGGAAAGGAAAGGAGGGCGATGTGTGTGGCTTCCGCCCGTTTCCGCTTTTTGTCTTCGTGAATTCCGTGGAGTGAATCCGTGGGCCACCACGCTCGCCTTTCATCGCTCGCAATACTCCACGTTGAAAGGTGGTAGCGCGCCACTTGCACTTGATTTCATAGCGACCGCTTTTCTTCCACACTCGAACACGAATGGAACTGTCAACCGTGTTTTTCAGGTGGACATCACCGAGCTGTGCCCATCGGCCACGGTTCTCGCCCAGCAATTGACCCACGTGGAACTCGAGAGGCTCTCGTACATCGGCCCCGAAGAATTCGTCCAAGCTTTCGCCAAGGTTTGTATTATATGTGTGTGTCTGCTTTTTTATTCCTGTCACGTACTCGATGATTGTACATTGTTTTGCTTTTTGTTTCTTCTGGGTTCGAAGACATAGATCGATAAATCTTGTCTTCGATTATAAATAAGTTTGCTTCACTTCAGAAGAACTTGAGGTTTTCTTGAATTGTCTCTTGCTTTTCTCTCAATGAAATTCGAGTGAGAGAACTTTTAAAAAATTTTATGCCAATGATGGATTTGATGTAAATTTATTCAACAAATAGGAATCCCCTCATCTGGAAACATCGTTTAAGGACATGAAGAAAACGCGCAATCTCGAATCGTACATCCAATGGTTTAACAGACTGAGCTATTTCGTCGCGACTGAAGTATGCAAGGTAGGTTGAACACGGGTTCAACAAGAGAAGCAATTGAAAAAAAGGAAAAGGGGAGAGAAATTATCGTTTCTTGGTTTCCAGCATCCAAAAAAGAAACAACGAGTCCGCGTGATTGAATATTGGATCGAAACAGCCCGTGAGTGCTTCAACATCGGCAATTTCAACTCCCTGATGGCGATCATCGCTGGTTTGAACATATCACCGATATCTCGTCTGAAGAAAACGGTAAGTTGCGTGTTATAAATATATTTTGAATATAAAACAACAACTTTAAACTCCTTCGAGCTAAATTAAATTACCTAATAAAATAAAACAATTATTCTTTCAAAAATTTTTTTTCTAAGCAAACACAATTACAATTACAATATCGTACATCTTCTTATACACGTGTAATAAGTAATAAAATAATTTTCGCGAAACCTACGAACTTAAATTTACAACAATACGACATTTTCCTGAAAATCTATGATTAAATAAGAAAAATAAATTTTACAATCTTGAACTTAGGAAACACAAAGTTTCAAAATAATAGGAAAATCTACGATTCTACCGACCGTCGTGGTGAACAAAAACAAAAATCAAAACAAATGAAGGGAAAACAATCAATCACGCGTCATGAAAATCGATGGACGAAGAGAAAGCGACGCCTTGAATGAAAGAGAACCGGAGAGAAAATGATGGATGATGGCCGAGGACATTTTTATGATGAATCTGTTTCGTCGAAACTGAATCGACTTGGTCGCAGAACACGTCGGATTGGTCCTCGCCCCCTTCCAGCCGAGGATTGTACATTGCAATCAGGGATGTGTAATCCTCGTAAATCGAGCATGGCGCCGCGACGACCGGCGTTAACCATGACGAATCGCCGTGAATCGAGTTTTCGTTGAAACGAGATCCGAAAACGGAGAACGTGTTCGGGCGGGAGAATTTTCGGAGGCGTGAAAAAAGAAACGAGATGGATGGCGGATCGCGCCGCTCTAATTGAATTTTTTCGTCACTGTTTCGCGCCGGGCTTCGATTGAAACGTACATCGGGTTAATTAGAAAGCGTACTGGGATTCAGTACTGCATATCGCGAGTTTTAATTGGGATTTGTCTCCTCGTTCCCTATCGCATTTTTCTAAAATCTTGGATTTTAACTGGTGGGAACGAAGCTCTGCGAGGGAAGGAGAAATATTAAATTTTATATTTGGAGTTGTTATAGAATATAAAGTTCACTGAAATTTTATATATAATTTTATTATTGAACGTTGCTAGCAGTGTCGCTACTTCATAGTTGGTATCCTTTTGTTTATCTTCGATACGCGATCTTCAGTTTTTTTGTAAACAGACACGCGCATTCACGTATAACTGAAATATATCCAAGCTAAATCCGTATATTTTTTTATTTATTGGTCGCCATTGCATAATCAGCCAACAGGAGTATATGTTTTTTCCTTTTTATTATTGAATATATTTTAGAATATATTTTAAAAACTAAATTTGAAATAATTTTATCGTGTTTATCGTTGCTGTATCATAAATTTAAAATTGGCAATTTAAAATTTTGTACGTCATTTATTTAAAAAAATTCTACTAGAAATAAACGGAAGATTATATAGAATGTAATGAAAGAAGATGAGTATTAGATTTAATCTAGCATGTTTAAAAATTTAATTCTGGAATTAATTAGTTTATTTAGTACGATGTATTTCACTTCGTCTATGTTTGAAACTTGGTACAAAACCATATTATCTACCTTTAAAAAAGAATTAAATCAAAAATCTAAATGTAAAAAGAATTTTTTATGAAATACTAAAATTTCATTTTGAAATTTTATATACATACGTACATTCCCTCGCAAAAGTTTTGTTCCATAAAGAAAAGTTCTTTTTATTAAAACAAAATTCCAAAAAAAAAAAAAGAACTTCCAACGCGAAGTAAAAATCTTTAATGCGTACATCATCCACATTGAAGTAGGAATGTTTCGCATTATTACATTTATTTTAATAAAAATATCCCTTTTATTTGTCGTACGAAGAGTTTCAAGGATACAATCGCACTACAATCGAATTCCAAATTTATTAATGCAACGAAACTCGAAATCGGTGGAAAATCGTTTGAAATTTTTGGAACAGAAACTAGAACGTAAAACGCCACGCTGAAAAAGGAAAAGAAGAACTGCGTTTCAATCGAAAAGACGAAACGAAATTCGAGGAAAAACAAAAAAGTTCAAGAGTGCAAAAAAAAAAAAAGAAAAATCGAGTGTAACGGGAATTTAATCCAAACAGGAACATCCGCATTCCGATGCTCCGGATAACATCGACGAAATAATCGAATCGCGCTTTGCGCGTAACAATTGCGTTTCCACGAGAAAAGGAAGAATAAAAGTAAAGATAAAAAGAAGAGGAGGGGTGGATGGAAGAGAAAAGTGGGAAAGGAGGGAGAAGAAATACATATCGCGCGACTTCCTGTCAATCTTTCACGATATTACTTCCTGTGAGGAGGAGTGAGGACGACTTCTTTCTTCGCCCGCCATCTTCCTTTTTTCGCAATGAAATCCTGGTAGAAATGAAAAGACCGCGGTTCCGTAAGAAAATATAATATAGACTCTTCGATTGTTCCAATGTGTATTTATCGATTATTTGAAAATTCTCTGGCTCGATATATAATATTAGCAATTTCGATCGAAAAGTTATTTATTTTATTTTAACGATTAGTTTTATGATTTCAGTCGTAGTTTCAGTCGTGAACGTATGATGAGATATAGACATAAAAATTGATCGTGAAATCGATCTGCGAAAGAGATTCGAGGTCATCGCAGTTGTACAAGAATTAGAGAGGATATAAAAGTAAAAAAATCTCGATTTCTTTTTTTTGCAAATACGGGCCAATGTTCGAAGTCCGTGTTCCTTAAAATCGGATTAAAAGAAAAGAATTATTGGACAAGCAGTAAATTCCAATACGAACTCTTCCGAAATACTTGTTTCGAATTTCCTAAAAACAACTCCTATCTCCTCGATACGTTTTTTATGCCATCGACGGACAAACAACGATTCCAATAATATTTACGGGAAGATAGGAGAATCGACATCGATACCTGGCTTCCAGAAGTATTAGAAAAATAAACGGCGTGTTTCGACTTTTTTTAAACAATCCATCAATGTGTACCGTGCATTTATAGAACCGTGGATTCGCTATAAATGGAGTTGCAACCCTCGAGGAACGAAATAACAACGAGGAAGAAGGTTAAAAATAACGGGCACGAGCTCGTAACAAAGGTATTAATGGAGATTTCGACGATATTGTATAGCCGATCCGATTTAAATGGAAATATTCTCGTCGGCGATCAAGCCGCAATTTCATCGTGGATTGTATTAAACGGTTGCATGAACCGTGCGTGAAAATGGAATGACCATTATGATAAATAAAATTAAGTTCCTCTTTCCCCCTCCCTCTCTCTTTTTTAAATTTGCAAACGAATCTCGCGTCGTCTAGTTTCATAAAAATGTTCATAAATATTTCGTTTCACGGGTCTGTTTGCAATAAAAAGGTCGGGACGAATATATCCCTGCAAATGAATATACGCGAGAGTGTGACGTAATTAACATGTCAAGTTATGATTATCTGAGCATGCCACAGAGCACGTATTTTCGTGGCTTTTAAAGTATAAAAAAAAAAAAAAAGGAGGTGATGGAATAAAGAAACATTTTGAAAAGAATAAGAGATAACATTAAATATCCAGAGATTGAAGTTATTATAAAATTGTTATAAAATGGTTAACTTTTATTAAGGAATGTTAGAGTTGCTTTTTACCAATTTTGCGTAGAATATAGAATTAGTGTAAATCTTTTTAATAATTTTAAAAATTTGACATTCTTGGATACGTAGATAGCATTTTAATAATTTTTCAAAGAACGTAATTTTAAAAATTCTATCTTTGAATATTTGCTATAAAGTAGGTCAGAGATACGTTGCAATTTAAATTTAAAATTACGAGATGAAATATAGATTAAAATGTAAATATAAATTTTTTTGTCACGGAATAACTTTGTGGATATGTTATGAGAGAATGATAAAAAGTGGCCAATTACGTTTGATGTAAACTGGAGAACAATTAAATTTGACATAAAATAAAGGTCTCGGTTGGTAGATTTATCAAGGTAACCGTAACGCTCGTTCCAGAGAATTTTAAAAAAAAATAATCGAAAAATACTTTATACGTGTCAGCAAGTGGAAAATCTTTCTTTATTCTTTTATATATGCGCGCATAGTTCTACGATTTATTCTTTGCCAACAAATTTTTATCCATTTATCCATCTCTATTTAAAAACATTCGTGAGAAGATTTCTCGCGGAACGAAAGAACTCTGACAACAACAAAAAAAAACAACCGTTCCAAGATAATAAAATAATAAAGTATAAAAAAAAACACGTTGAAAAAAAGAGAAAGATAGGAAAAACACACATTAGTTAATTTTATTTCTCGAAAGACGATAAAACGACAAATTCTGACGTGGATCGTGGATCGCGTACGACTTTATCGCGGAGACAAATTGCGAGGCGGAACGAGAAAACCATTAAACCATTTTTCATTTTTTTTTTCTCGTTTTTAATTACGAGACCGGTCTACGCCGTGGACATATCCCTCCGGCTCTATTCGACGCGGTTTGCTATTCGGAGTTCATTTGGTTCGGCCAGCTGATTTATACAGGGCCACCCTTAAAATAATTGCTGCAACTATCAGCGGCCAGCCAGCGTGGCCTCGCTTCGTAATTTTCGTTAATGAAAATTTAACGCTTCTGCTCGCTCACGCTCGCGCGTTGTTTTCCCTCCCCCTCCCCCTCCTCTCCCTCTCCACCCCTTGAAAATTGATGCGCATTTGGGAAAACGTTCCGTTGGATTTTTCACGAATCGATCATTTGTTTATTGTTTACCGTTGTTTGCTCTCGAAGATTAATTAAAAAAAAAAAAAAAAAAGAAAAGAAATTAAACAATTACGATTATTATTAGTCTGTGTATACAGTGTCGTTTAAACGGGATTATCGATACATGATGATTCGATAAATTACATTTTCCGAAAAGTTTTTAATTTTGGCGCCAAAACGTGCGATTTGAAAGAAAAATTTCACCGGAATATTAAATAAGGAATATTAAATTTGTATGATTTCGTAATAGCCTACAATTAGTAAAGAATTCAACAATCTTTCGAACGTCTCCATCTACTCGTCTCCATCTTCCTTCAACA